ATCTTCCACTACTACAAATTTGCTTTTCTCTTAGTGTTTGGAAGAAGTAAAAAATTCAAACATATTCCACTGAAAATCATGAACTTTGCATTATTTAACAGCTACTTAACTATATATATATTAATTTGTGATCGATATCTTCTCACTGTCTCAAAATATATAAGATATAGGTGAGGCTTAAAGTTACACACACACACACACACATATATATATATATTAATAGATTTGGAAAAGCCTTAAAAGGAGGTTAAAGATGGAGGAATTAATTAATTAAAGTTGTTCAAGAAGAAGACAAAGCATTGCAGTTGGAGAATATATGCTTTCACAAACCAAGGGCATGCAATCCAACACTAGGGACCATACTCATCTTGCTTTTCCATGCCCACTGAACTATGAATATTACCTTATTCTATGTGATTTCTTCTGCTTCGATTCATCTGTGCAAGGTCTGCATATCCATGGCATCATATATATATGAATATATATATATATATATATATATGTTCAACGTACACGAAATAGGTGTCGCCACGCATTTGATTCTTCATGTCTGCATTAATCCCATATATAACCATGCAGATTTCATGTCATTTTTTCAAAAGAATGTACTATATAACATCTCTTTTAGGTTGTCTACATATATATATATATATATATATATATATATATATATATAGGATATGACATTGGTTGTGACTTTCTTTTGATTTGATGCATTTTCTATTGCTTTACCAAGAACTGAATTCTTTGATCGATCATTAATGTCGTATCTGTGTACCTTTCTAGAGAAACAAGATTTAATTTTTGGCTAATTTGCAATCCTTGGAATGAGAAAGAAGATCAACATTGAGTTTAAGTTTATGTTTATATTGTTGGAAACGTGCTAGTTTTAAAAACTTTTCGAGAGATTTAAATTCATAGATCTTGATTCATTATATAAAGACAAGTTTTATGCAAAAATAAAACATGATGTATCATTCAATTAAAAGATTGAATACTTACATCAAGGTTTGAGTAAACCTTAGATCTTTCCTCTAAAGTGAATGTTCTCACTTATTGTAGATTCCTTAGCAAGATGCATTCTCATTGGATCTCCATCTTCTTGGTAATTGTTTTGCCTTTAGGAATCACTCATATGCCTCCATGAATGACCTTGGAAAACTAAACTTGTGAGAGCCTCCATTAGATGAGAACACTAACCCTAATTTTCTAGAGAGAGAAAATTTATTCCTTTTTACTTCTCATAAAAATAACCCACAAAATATACAAAGACCATGTATATTTATAGGCAACATAAAAATAAAGAAAAGGAAACAACAAATCCTTCTCAATCTCTAATTCATATGTCTCAAATCTAATATAATTCCAATATCAAGTTGTGCTAAGAGTGAGAATCCATTGGGCCTATTATTTTATTGGCTACAATGAATTAATAATTGGCCCGATCCATGGACTCAATTCAATTAATTCATAAAATAATTTTCTACTCCACTAAAAGAAATTAATTAAACTCCAATTAAATAATAAATAACCTCTAAATCAATATTGCATTTTGACCCCTCTATGCTTAATTAATTATCGGATAAATTAAGCCATCAATCCGACTACTTAATTAATATATTTATTTTGGTACCATTGATTATTTCTGGTTCGATCACAATAAAATATTTGTTTGACAAAAATAATAATTTAAATAAATAAATAAATATATAATAAATCATTTTGCCTAAAACATACGAAGGCCTTCGAATTTACTTTGTGATCAAGCATAATCAATACAAAATAAATACAAGTAGCAATGATGCAAATATTGAAAATATAACTCTCTAACTATTAATTACATAACTACCCAAATTATCGGTCTAAGGATCCCGAATAATTCGCCGAACAAATCAAAGAAATTATTAATTAATAAAAGAGTCTATAATTTTCTCATGCTTAAGAGTCAAATGCCATGACGGTGATAGGGAGTAATTGCATACGACGGCTCTCGCAATATATCTCAACCTAACGCGGATCCAATTCAAGTCTTAATTAATTATGAGTCCATCCATAATTACCGACTATGAACCATTTATGATTACTATTTATATTCATGTATTGATCGCCATCACATATATATATAAATATCTCTTGTAATTAAGTAGACACTATCAATTCTATAATGAATTGAAACATAATACATTGAATTCATCAATTGTATAAAAACATAAATATTTCATAAACGTGAAGAACATATGTCACTTTAATCCAAACAGGAATTTGCTATGCCAGGGCATATAAATTCCAACGTATATAATCATTGTGCTCATATTGGTAGTAATTAGAAGGCGGATATTCTGGAGCATGATCTGTTGGAACAAAGAAACATATTCAAATAAAATTACTTAGTATAAAATTTGAGTGCAACCCGAGTTCGTTTCAATGAACGAAAAATCCGAAATATTCAATAAGCTTACACAAAAATTTCATTTTGAAACCCCAAATGATGGTATTTTATTGAAAAACAAAAAATTTGGGATTAATACAAATAATCTGTCAGCATACCTGTTTGACCCTCTGAATGGGCCAAACCGGCCACGCTTGGACAATCAGTTGTATATCACCATTGTGCTTATATGGGTAGTAATTAGAAGAAGATATTCAGGAGCATGATCTGTTGGAACAAAAGATAGCACAACATCAAGTCATGAATGTAATCTATGCGGCATCTAAGCATGTTGTATGGGACAATTGAAAGTGGACAACTAGGGACGGAGACTAAAAAAGGAGATCCCTTATCACGTGTGATCCATTGGTCCACCTTCAGACTTCAAATCACCTCAGTGTGTGTGTGTGTGTATATATATATATATAATTTTTTTTTTTTTTTTTTTTTTTTGACCCATGTTTGTGGAGGTAAAATCAAAGAAAATAAAAGAAGAGAACAGAACAGAAAATTATAAAAAAGACACGGAGGGAAAAACTAGAAGAAAGTGATTCTTCTATGTAAGAAAGAAAAGCATGCAGAGCCCCATAAACCTTGTGCAGCCCGTGTCCTGCCAAGAGGCTGGCCCCCTTGTTGTGGTTATGAAGAAGAAGAAGTAGTTAATTACAATAATCTATCGGTACTTAGGACTGTAAATGAACGTTCAACAAATAGTTCGATCTCGGCTTACGTTTGTTTATTTCATAAATAAACCGAGCTCAAATAAGATTTTCAAGTTTGTTTGGTAAACGAGCCAATCTCAAACATTTCCAAGGTAGGCTCGTTAGTTCGTAAGCCATAAATATGTTTATGAACTAAGCCGTGAACATGTACATTTGCCTTGTACCTTAAAGAAATTATGCTTTCAAATTATATAAAAGGCCCATTTTTCTTAACTTTGACCCAAAAATATGAAAACTTATACAAACAGGCCCACTTTGTTAAAATTAACTTTGCCCGAACAACATCGCTTGAACTTTATAAGGATGGCCCAAACCTTTTCTTTTTTAACTTCAAAGTTTAGCCCATTCAAACCCAACCTAAACTCAATCCATATAAATATAATAACCAACTAAAAATAAAATAGATCAAGCCCAAACAAATCAAATCATTCTAAACACAAGCCCATACTTAAAGTCCATTTAAAGTGAAGGCTAGTTTTCAAATAATGGGCAGTTGACATTCAATTTGAATTTCTGTACAAATTTAAGCAACACCTGTTTGTTTTTTGAAGGTAAGTTTTAATTTGAATTCTATACCAACCAATTTCAAACCTTTTTTATTAACAAGCCATACAACTTTTGTTTTTACTTTTAGCCTATGATTAAATCTATTTTAGGCTGCACTATTGAGAGATAATAGTTCTATTGTTTATCAACATTTGTTTCTTGTTTTGCATAGATCCAGCCAAATTTAATATCAAAGTCTTTTTACACTTTTTCTTTAGAATTTAAAAAAAAAAAATTTACTATTTTGGATGTAGAAATTAGAATATCTTGTCAAAATTATGACGGTAATCATCCACTGCATCTATCAAGTATGTATTATTTTTTAGTCCGAGTTGGTTTAAAACTTTTAACCCTTTAATACAACACTTAAAAAGTCGTGTCTTCTATATATATGAGTTAGTGAAATTAAAATACCAGTTATAATGTAATTGTAAAAGTTGTATCCTTTAGTTGGAACTCATTTTGACTTTGATTATAAGAGTCACTTTTTTGATATATCAAAGCTATATAGATAAGTTAGAAAGTTAGGACAGTGCCTAGGAAGGTATGAACAAGATGATGATTGAATATGATTACGGAGGACTAGCAAATATGATCAGGGAGGACTAGCAAATAGAACGGCGAGAGTAAAGAGAAGGTTTTCTCTCTATGGAGGTTTTCTCTCTAGGGCTGGGATGTAAAATCCATATGGATCAATTTCGTGCCAATTCTTATAGCGAAAGTTTGGCAAGGCTTTCCTTTAACAAGGAGATATGAAATTGATACTGATGCTACTTAGTGAGATAGTGGTGAAGGATTCTAAGGATTCTCATAGTTTCATGCCTTCATAATTCCATGCCTTTATGACTTTTTAGTGTTTTTAATTCAATGGTAACAAAATTTAAAATGAATATGATTATTATTTATTCAAAATAATTAAAAAAAAAAAAAAAAAAGTTGTAACAGAGGTTGACTTTCTACCATTTTTCACCAGACTCCTGTCCCTAACATTAATTAATAAAATTAGAGACATAAAATTCAAAATTACCTTAAAAGTAATTTACTCTAAAATAAGTATTGTTCTATTCAAAATTTAAGTCAAATTAAATAACTAATGGGACATTTCCAAAACAGAAAGACAAAATAAACATGCTAGAAACAAAATTTCAGTTACAAAGGTATTGGTGATGTGTAGGAGTCCTTATACTCATAAATCCAATTGAGACCTACTATCCTAAATTTTATCACTTTACAAACCTACAGCCATAAAACTATAAAAAAAAAATATTCCATTTGAGTCTTTTATTGGGAAAACAAATTTGTATAGAGAAGAATTTTTTGAAATAAAAAAACATAGGAGGTAGTTGGGTGAATTTTTGGAAATAAAAAAACATAGGAGGTAGTTGGGTTCAAAGTCTCGGCTGTAATATCCTGTGGTTTATGAAAACATTAACATATAACTTTTCAATGAAAAACAACATACATTCAAATCTTTTAAAGAAAAAAAAAAAAAAAAATCTTCTGAATAAAAAGAATTTATTGAAAAAATTTATAAATTGAGAGTAATTTTTTATACTTTATCTTCAATTATTTATTTATTTATGATTAAACTACATTAACTGAATCTCCTGCTCACTTATGAGTAAGCAAGCCTTGTATCCATATGATAATGATTTGCGTAATAACTTTGTATTATATTGCTGTTGACCTCTCAGCCTTTTGTTTTATTAGTTGACTTGTTGCTATCTACAGACTTTTTTTCGGAAATCTACTTTCATAAATTTTCTTTGCAAATAACTGTGTCGCAACATACTTGATAAATGATTTAAAACTTTCCAGCTCGCTCTCTATCCAGGTTTCATTATCTGTCTCTTCAACCATGGCATTTGAGACCTTCTCCCTAGCAACTCTATCCCATCTCTTCCTCTTTATTGTCTCTCTAATCTTATGTACATATATCTTACTATAGCCATTTTGAAGAGAAACAATCTTGCAACTTGAGTTCTGATCAGATATCCCCGTTCTTGGCTCACCATCACCATCCTCAATGACACTATTGGCACGACTACAGTCGCTTGTCTGAGTATGTAACTTTTCTTTTTCAGGGATATGGGTATCATTGCAGGCTTGATTCAAGCAGCTCTTGGACATTGCAGATTCAACAATTACTCCAATACTCACAGTAGCTCTATGGCCAGAATCATGAGCAGCAACCGAGCCATTTATAACACATGATTGTGAGCTATTAGAGGTTGTTTTTCCAACCACAGCTTTAGATTCAGTCACCCTCCCACGTGCCGTTGGAGCTTGTTTCCGATTTCGCTCCAACCACCCAAGCATCTGTTGGATGACCTCTGAAAAGAAATCCCATGAAGAGAACTGAGAAAGAAGCTTAATAACGCAGGAGTGGGGGAGGGGTGTTTCTTTTAAGTGAAAAAGAAAATTTCACAAGAATCTGGTCAAATGCGTAAAACTACTAAATATTCCTTGGTGAGTGGATTTTTCAGTTCTTCACTGCATTCAATAGTAAAATGTAAAGTATTAGCAGGCTGAACAGTGAGAAGGTTAAAACAAAGGACATAATTTAGTTTCTACAAGTTTGTAAAAGCAAATTTTTTATAAGAAGTAACACTATTTACATCACCTACACCAACAATTACAACAGATAACAAGAGGAACCTAATCTAGGAAAAAACTCTTGCTGAGTCCATTTTTCATTTCTTCACTGCGTTGAGAGTCACCTGTAATCTGATACGCAGGTGTATCCTAACTGAAGATAGAGATACGGTTGAACCAACAACATATTTCAGTACCAATAATTAATAAAAAGGAAAATTTGTCATAAAAAGTCATGCAGTTTATCTCAACTACACCAACATTTATATCATATAAGAAGGGGGCAATACATAAAATTCAAGGACAAAAAGCATATTTCTTGAGCAAACATTTTAATTAATGTAATCATCATAAAACTAGTGCATTTAATGTCTACTGCAACATGATTCTCCAACAATTTGTAAAGCATTTATTGAAGGAATAGGTTCATACAAGCACATTACCTTTAAAAATATATATAAATATTCATATATCTAAATCGCCCTTAATATGAACTCATATCTTGAGCTTTCTCATGAAAGAAATTAATAACTGAAGACTTCAATTCACACTGATGAACATAGTATCATTCATGATGCAAAAGCATGGGAAATGAAGATAAAAGAGATCTATAGATATATGAAACAAACCTTCTAATAGCTTAGGTGAAACATCAAACTGCAGCCACCAAACCTTTCCCTTCTCCGTGGGAAGCTTCACTTTCTGAAATTTGGCAGCAAGGAACAGGGAACCAGCAGCGATATAATGGGGTTTGTACTGCAAACAGAGTGTTGTACGGAGCCTACAGGTACCATTAGCAGAAAGTTTTAAATCATTAAAATGACAACATCTGACAAAAAATACAGATTTAGGCCACTCACATATAAAGAACTTCGCCAATAATCAACAAAAAAGAGAAATGAGCACACACCAGTCATTCACAAAATTCCATGCTACTTTTGCAAGCTCCTTGTGTGAAATCTCCAATCTTTTCAGAGCTGTGACAAGTGGCTTGTAAGGGAGTTCAACATTGAAGTCAAAAGCAACTGTTGCCAATAAAACCCTCTCTCCAATTAAGATTAACTCCTTATGCCTATCATAAACTTCCTACAAAAAGAATATATATAAGCAAGCCCACAACTTAGCAAACATAGCAGCCATAGCGCAGTGACAATGTTTTCCATACCAATTGTTTGATTCTTCGCGGGGCAGAAGGATCGCATCTGTACATTAGTTGATAAGCCACCACAATAACATCACTCAACCACCTTGGTGTTTCTTCCAATTTGCAAGCAAGGAACATACAAGAAGTAGCAACAGTCTGCAAAAAGCACATCACCACATTGAGTAGTACATTACATGTATTGAAGAAAATACATAGGAATATTATTTTCAAGCTTCCACATGGGCTTTTGATATAGCAAGTGGAAGCTGCAATATACCAATCAATCATTGAATATTTACCTAGTAAATTATCAAATCTAAATAAAAGAACTAAACTCTGCAATACATAAGAGTTTCTCATTTTGATATCAGAAGTCAATATTAAACAAGACAGCATATCTAATATATCAGTTCCACTTCCATCACATTTCACAGCTCAGGCCCAAGACCAAGAATGTTTTTAACACATACATTCTGTCAAAATTCCCTCCAACCAAGAAAATATTCAAATGGGAGGCCATGTCCTTTGAAAAATGACAAATTGCACAGAAGTAAAAATAAAATAAAAATATGATGAGTACCTGCCATTCATTCTTTGCATGAGACTGACGCAAATAAAAACGATGGCACAACATCATCGCTGTTGCTATCGTCACCTGGGGCCTGAGAAAGAAAACATTGATCACTATCTTGAGCATGTACAGTAAGCAAGAACTTCTCCAAAGAACTGGAAGGAGTGACATATAAGAAAAAGGGAAAATATGCAGGAAGAATATAAGACACTCAAGGATGTTGCACGAATTAAAGACAAAAGCCATTTACTAATGGATAAACAAGTAAACAATAATGCATGAACTTTTTATTTTTATTTCAATTTTGCTGGAAGGGAGGACGAAATCGGCAGGTAAATGAAGCAGGCTAATATTTGACCTCAGGTATATATGTCTAAAACAACAACACCAAACCAAAAATTACCGGCTAAATAGTATGTGTGTAAAAGCTAAACCAAAAGTAGATACCAGAGATCATTTCTCACTATTAGGAAAATAGATTTCCTAATAATTTATGAAGCCATCAGCCAAATTGTTAGGGTTAATTCTTCTCCGGGCAAAAAAGGTTGCATGGGTTATACACAAAAGCAACACATTTATCGAACTATTAGACCTCACATGCTTTCACTAATTATTTAAATTAATGCTAAAGACTTACACTTTAAGCTCCATACCAAGATCTTGCAAAAACGAACAGTATAACTTCCGCAATCGTGACTTTGTCTGATGGTCAATGCCATCCTTCCTTGATGGAGAATTATCTTCTATCTCCTTTCTACCGAAGTACCACTTGTGTGTCAAGCTCTGAAACTCTTCATCTGGTATGCACATTGTGGTTGCCTTTCTTTCAATTCCATGCTGAGAAGGATCCCCTGGCAGTTTCCCTGCCATGGTTTCCCCCTTTTCTCGATGGCAGATAAGAGAGAAAAAACATATAATTACTGAAATGTCCCTGCTTATTTAACAGCTCACTTCGTAGCAAAATCACCAATAGATATTCTGTAAAACAAAAATAACAGTGTCAATGAAATAAAGTAAACATTATCTCTGCTCAAAGAAATTGACCACTGTACATTAAAAAACTGACTTATAGACAGTGTCAATGACATATTGACACTAAAAGAAAACTAATTTACAATACCATGATTGCTCCACAATGGAAACATATGGGCTAAATGCCAAGATCCACTTCGAAAAAAAAAAATGCATCATGAATTCTATCGGTTATTAAAATTGTTCTGTGGCAATCTAAAAATAGCCATGAACTACGTGAACATTTTGATAAAAGACACCACAGATGTCCAAATAGTCAGTGATAATTTGAAGATTTGATCATCCCAATGGATAGTCGCACAACCTGACTATGCCCTGGTTTTTATATGGTTTTAGAAGTAACTCTTTATGGCTTGATAGGCCCAAAAAAATAAAATGAGTTGAAAGTACGATATATAGGAAAATGCATTTGAGGGGAAGGAAGAGGAAGGCGGAGCACAACTAAAGCACAGAAAAAGACGAAACCCAAATGTATTAGCATAAATATTAAGCCCAATGCAAAAGTAAAATCAAGGGGGGAAATCACATATTTTTAGCCACATAAGTTCAATGTAGAAAATGAATTGCATCAAGACTATCACAGCAGAAGTTCTGGATCCTGTATAAACATTAAATCCATAATCAGTATTCTTGTAAAGAAGCATTGGGGAAGTTTCCAACTTTTCTGAAAAAAATATAAAATTTACAAGCTCTTAGGTCGAAAGAACACTTTAGACATTCCAGAAAGGTACATGGTACATTCAGCGTTGCAAAATGGAAAGTGAAACTCAAAAGATAATAAAATCAACAAGCAAATGTTTTCTTGCAGCTTAATTTATAGGAAAAACAAAGAGAAAAGAACGTTGCTTTTCTTCTCTCGTTTCTGCAAACCAAGCTAAATTTTCAAAAAGTACATGAAGCACAAAAGACAAAACCAACTCAACTTAACTCAAATTGCCCTTGTCATAAGTATTGGGGTTGCCTAAATGAATCCAATTCTGCAGTTTGCTTTGTTTAGAGTCATATGTTCAATTAAACCATTCACTACCATGCCTTTTAAGAAATTCACAAAACCGTAGATATAAAAGAAAATTTTAAGCTTTTTACGATCACAAATTAATGGTAACATGAGATAATGTTGGTTATCAAGCTGATACCACGTGCCAGAAAGCGTGTTCAATCGAGATCCAACCATAAGCAATAGGAAAGTTAACAAACAAATAAGGAAAACAATAATTAATGTTAGTTTGAATAAGTCCTATATAGGAACATAAGCAAAAGAAGAAATCAATGAATATAGAGAAATCACAGAGTACGCACAAAAAACAACAAAACTGGAACAAAAGCTTGAAACCTGAGGTAAACCCTAATTTTCAAATTCTTGGTATTCTTCCCATCTTTGCCTCACCACTAGAAATTTTCTACTCTCAGACACATCTCTCATTAGGCTACATCTCACCAAAATCTCAGTTAATAACCTAGGTATTTATTCATATAGCCTAAGACCAAAATTCCTTGTTGACAAGGAACACAATACCTTAAATCAATTATAACACTCAACAAAAACTTTTCAGACAAAATAAATCCAGCACTAATCAACATAAATGCTGTTTTATCCAAGGGGGGTGTGCCTCTCATACAAGAGGTTTGGGTATTATGAGCAAAAAATACGTATAGTACCAAAGCAACCAAAAATAATTATAACATACATTTATGAGAATTTAAATACTAACGTGATTGTTATGTAACCCCATTACAACCCTTTACTGATCTGGGCAATGTTTTATATAATGGTAGTGGCTGTAGTGATAATAATACCCTTAATATCTATCATATTAGATGATACCTCATTGGCTATAAAATTGGGCAGAAGTGTTATTTTCTTTAATTAAATTAGTGGTTTTTATTTTTTTTAATAAGTAAAATATATTCAAAAGGCGCTCAAGCAGGGACTGCCCATATACATATTAGTGGGGTTATTACAGTTTGCCACGTGCGTTCTCCCCCTACAGCAGGTGATTATCAAGTTTTTTTTTTTTTTTTTTTTTTTTTTTTTTTTTTTTTTTTTTTTTCACATTAACTATCTTAACAAAAAGATAAAATAGAGAAACCCACAAAATTATAGAGTTCACAAGAAAACCATCGACATAATTAAAGATAATCGCATGAATTTTTTCAGCAGAATATAACATTAAATCTCCAACTGTATACTGTCAAATCGTAAGGAAAAAAAAAAAAAAAAATGAATTCCACAGTTTTCGATCAACCAAAAGGATCTAATGAGATCGAGCATATGCGGAAGAAATTAATTAGATCGATTGAAGAAACATACATGAAGATCAAATGCTCGAAGAAGATGAAATCAGATGAATTTTCGAAAGGCTTGCGTAGCTCCAAAGGTGTAAACCCTAGATTTTTTAATGACCGTTACAAACCTTTCCCTTTTTTAATTCAGTTAACGTTGACTCCAAGAATTACCACCGACCCTACCACACCTGACGCGCTAACGCGTCCAGATACACGTTTCTTGTAGATTTTATTTAGATTTTAGGTTGGTGATTTTTTTATTTGTCTTAATTTCACTTACACCCTTTAAATTTGGCCAAATATCACATTTAAATACCTTTCGAAAATAACTTTCACTTAGGACCAATTTTACTTTTGTCATTAACACCGTTAAATACATGCGAAAAGAAAAATGTACCCCTAATTTTTTAATAACTTGTATTTCAAAATATTAGCAATTTAAATGGACAAAATTGTCTTCTTTAATTATTCTCACCTATATACTCCTCTCTCTCTCTCACTTGCTCGATCAACACCCTAATTCCACCATTTTTAAATTCTTCAAGCTTTCCTTCTCTCTAGTGCCCTCTCTTCACCGCCATCATTCCTTCCCACCCTGCGAGGACCTGTCCCTTTTTCCTTTCTTCCTATTTTTCTTTTTTCGACATTTTCGGGTCTCGCGTCAAGTGGAACGGGGCGGGGTCAAGTGTTTCCGACACTTTGCATTTATCATTTTGGGATATATTGGCATATATATATATATATATATTTATTTGGGTCACATTGGACATCATATATTTTTTTTTTGGGGCGGTTGCATTATTATTTTCTAAGATATTTTCATTTTGGGGCATTTCTCAATTTTTGAAAATCAACAGGGCCAGCGGGAGACTTTTGTGCCTATTATACATACAAACATATATGTGTTGGAGGAGGAGAGAGAGAGAGGGGCAGCCATAAGGGTCGGATCCCTTCCCCCTTCTTCTTTTTTCTTTTCTTCTTTTCTTCTTTTATCTTTTCTTTTTGTTCTTAGCTCCATGGTCCAGTTTCATCTCCTTTCGGTCGGATTTGCCAACGCCGTAGAAGAAAGAAATGACGGGGACACCAAGGGGAGCAAAACCCTTGTTTCTATTTTCATTTTGGGGAACTTTGAGTTTCTGAGTAAAGCTTGAATTTGGATTTTGAGGCGGCCATATAAGGGTTTTTCATTCTCCTCGTCTTCCTTATCGACTCTTCAAAGTTGTGGCTCGATTAGAGCATTTTCAATTTTGGAGTTCTTGAGATTTTCATCTCAAATGAGGTAGGGGTGTGTTACATATATAAGACTATGATTCCTTTGCGTTTTGTGAGTTAGAATGAGGTATACATGCATATGTGTGTGTGGGCATGTATATTTAGAACTTTATACTTGGGTTAGTAATGCTTGTCAATGGTAATTCAATGATATTATTATTGATTGCATGCCTAGTATGTTTATTAGATTTGTCATTGCGATATTAGTTAAAAGCCATGGTGCTTACTTGATGTTATAAATTTCCTATTTGTGTATATAAGTGAAATACTTACTTTTGAGGTTATGTGGATGATATTGTGAGCTTGCTTTTGGAAGTATAACTATATGGATATTTATGTTGCATTAGATTTGATAAAATATCCTCTTGATTGTATAAGGTTAATTATGATCAATTATTAACTATGTTGTTGTCATTGCATTAATGAGCATGCCATGATAGCGTTGGACTTTAAGATATGGTTCATGTGGAAAGCATAAGTTTATGTGCGCTTGTAAAGTGCAATTTGGATATATATTGGTATATGCTTACTTTGTGGATTTGGATGATGATTTTGGAGATATTCTCGGGCTTTATTGTACAATTTGGTTTATGACAATGAGGGTTTGGCACTTGCAGGGTGAGCTCGGGCTCCCCAACTTTATAGTGGCTACTTGGTTAGTTACATGTGGGCTAGTATCCCAAAACAACTACGGTTGGTTACCAACAGTCTTATTCCGAAAGAACCATTTTACCGACTCATGCAATGTGGGTAAAATGCGAAAAAAAAAACCCTGAACTATGGGAGTTTTGTAACTAACCCCCCGGAACTACAAAAAACACCCCCTGAACTTTCAATTTGTTGCAATTTGCCCACTTAGGCCACTGAAAAAAGAAAAAAGACTAAGCTGCCCTTCCAGTAAAACAATGCAGTTTGCTTATAATCTCAATTTCACTTTATTGACGTGGCAAACAACATCTAACCAACCAATACCATTACGACAACACAATAAAGAGGTAAGGATTCTTATCTCTTACATCACCCACATAACAACCAAACCCCTAACCCACCTTCCTTTATTCATGGCAAAAACATAGAGAGTAGAAAAAGAAGCCATTGTCGCCTTTCTCTGCAAACCTAATCAACATAAAACCCTAAAAAACGTTGGTGTTAAAGTCAGGTACTCGCATTGAGTAACTCTTTTACTCTAATCAACTGATTTTTCTTATATATGTGTATATCAAATTTGTTATATAATGACCAAGCTCATGTATACTTGTTTCTTGCTTTGTTCATGCTTTTTTCTTGCTTTGTACAAAGTTTTAGTCGAATTTTTGAAGGATTAGAGTAAAAGTTTGTAGTTGATGTTGTTGTGACCTTTTTAGAACTTTGATATTCTCTTTTTGTTTTGTTTTTTTTTTTTTTTTAAAGGTCCGAGGTATTCCAACCCCATATGCAGTGTTTTTTTT